GGCAGCGATTTATCTGGGTGTGGGACATGAGGTGTAAACCGGGTCTCAACATTTTATGTCTTGAGTCGAGGTCTGAATCTTGAAAGTTGCGCGAACTCCGTTGCTGTGTTTTGAGAAGCATACCCCGCGTGTACTGCTGGAACTTGGCGAACAGCTGTTATTTGGACACGGCAGAGGTTTTCCCGTGCCTTCAGAGCAGCATATCTCTTGTCGGTATCAATAATGAAAGTGCTTCGGGGTGTCATAGTTGAACAGCGCAGTGCCGTGAGACATTACAGTGAAGAGAGTCAGTCTGCAGGCCGGGAATGCATGTCAAATTACAGGGCCTCTCGGCCTCTTTGCTTCTTGAGGAAACTTGGTAATAGTAAGGAGTAGTCTGAGATGTTGGGTCTGTTTGCTTTATCTCAGAGGCATTTGAAAGCAAATTGCACTATAAAATTTGAATGCATATTAGATTTTCTGTTTGAATGGATATCCTTGACCTTTTAAAAGTTAGAGCTTGTTGGCAAGGGAAGGGAAGGTATCGCAGCATGCAGGAGTATTTAATTTTACTAGAAAATAATAGCTATTTTTTCAGCGATTAATTTTATATTTTTATTGGAATGTTAGCAAAGTGCTTTGGTTTTGTTATTTTTTCAATTAAATTACGCTTGGTTTTATTTAAACACTTAATTTTGGATCACATCTCAGGAATGATTGTTTATTTGTTTTTGTTAAATGTGACTGCATTGTTACATCATTTTGCAACATGTTGTCTGTTTCAGCTAACCATGTCTTTAAATTCATCTATACTTTTAAACGAAGAAAGCTCTCAAGGACCAAAAAGAAATACTGAATGTTTGGAAAGCCTGGAATTGCAGACTCCATCATCGTTTCAAGAGAACCCACTTCAGCAATTACAGCTGGCATCACAGGAAGTGCTTGAAAAGGCAAAAAAGAGTGGGAGATCAAAATGCCCCCGATGCAGTAGTTCAAGGATGTTCTATTGTTATACATGCTTTGTTCCTGTTGAAACTGTCCCTACCAAAGAAATTCCCACTGTGAAGGTTAATATTTCCTATGGATATTTTATAATGTTCTTGTGCCTTTAGGTTAACGGGGACAGAGAGTCACAGTCTGTCTGTGACCATTTCTGTTCTCATTCATTCTTTATGGGCATTCATCTTTAACACAGCTGTAAGTATGAATAAAGTACAGTTAGATAAAATTATTGCTCTTATTTGAGGAATTACATGTACAAATACTGACAACGTTCCAGTCCTCACATAAACATTTATGTATCTACTAGATGAGTACATAAGCTGAAGTCACTCAGCTTCTCCTGTAAATGGCTGTGTTTTCACTTATTTCTTAAAAGTTTCGTTACAGTGCTGTTAACTTCATTCTTCAGTTTCTAAGAGCTTGGGCCAGAACAGAGTATATTATGAATATAAATATAACCTGTCCATAACCAAGTGTGAATTTTATATAAAATATGAGCTAAAAGGGATTCTTAAATAACATGACTGTATAATTCAGATAATGAATATAAATAAAGAATGAAAAGCTTAATGCTTTTCAGCTAAAACACTAGGAAAAACCATCAAAGGGACATTTTGGAGAATCACCTAGGAACTAAAATGCATTTTGAAGACACTCTGTAGTTTGAAAGCATCATGAAAATTCTTTAGAACTACTTTGGAAATTTGACCTAGTGGCCTTAGGTGTGTTTTCCTTTAAATGGCTGTTTTTGCAATAGGGTGAATACCTAATGCATATAAGTATTCATATTTAGGACCATTTTATTATTGCTCGAAATAGGACTGCATCTTATTTACGTTACCAATACTATTTCTAGAGGTTTTCCCACACTACTACTGCAGCATTCCGAGTTGCATTCATTGCGTACTTAATATACTTAAGTATTTACATGAACTGGGAGAATATAACAGGTGCTTCTTGTCACTTCTCTCTAGTTTAGTTCTAAAGCTATTAAGAGAAAAACACTGTCGAGAATTGTGAAATATGTCTTAATTAAATGCCCATAGAGATTTCTGGATTTTTGCATAAATTTTTGTACAAATGTTTGCACCTGCATACATGATCATAAATATTACTTTTTTCTTTTCTTTTTTTCTTACTGTAGTTACCTGTGAAGATTGACATTATTAAACACCCAAATGAAACAGATGGCAAAAGCACTGCTGTGCATGCTAAGCTCCTGGCACCTGATGATGTTACAATTTATAAATACCCTTGCATTCCAGAATATAAGGAAAAAAGACATGAAGTAAGAAATTCTATATAGATAGCTGGGTGTCGCGGTGGGGAGATGCAGAGGTATCTTCTGTACCTCCTCCTGCAGTGGCACTGCACCCTGGTGGGAGGGAGCGGGAGGGAAGCACTCTTCTGTTCATCCTGTTCCCCTCCATTTCGCTCGCTCAAAGCTTGGGCCTGCAGATGTACCGTGGTTATGGACTGTCCTCCAAAGCTTGGGAAAACTGCAGCACCATCTAACCGTCTTGACTTTCATACGTTCACCACCTTAGGTAATAGGTAATCTGATTTATTGTGCACCGTAAGAAATGTTTAACCCAGTCACATGAAAGTATTCAACTTAGAGCAAGTTAAACAACAGTTAAAAGTGTTGTGCTCATCATACTCAGCAGCTGTGGTATTAAACTTCCAGAAAATTTTTAACGTTCACTGTTACAGAGAAAATCTACTCGAATGCAACTGTAGTCATTGCAGGCAGTGCAGAGCCTGGAAAAAAGTGAGCTATGACCTTGCATTTATATGCTCATTTAAATGGTGCAATTAATCTGAAATCTAATATTTACATATTTGATGTCATGATTAACACTTCATTATTGGTTGTCTACATGAAGAAGAGGATAATATCTACATCGTAGTGATGTTCGTTTCTTCAAGGAACGCGCCATCCAGGAAAGCATAGGTGACAAAGAGGCAGGAGGCTGAAGAAAAAAAGCAGAAAGAGCAATGGAGAAGACAGGCAAAAGTGGGAAGAGACTGTAGCGACTTCGTACTGTCCAGGTTTTACCAAGTCACAGATTCTGAATGCTGCAATAAGCTACTGAAAAAAATACTAAATAAGGCCATCCCTGGTCGTTTTCATGTCAGATAGTTGTGAGACCTGCAATAGACACAAGGGCAGAAGAGATTTTTTTCTTCTAATCTAAAATTTGTGAATGAAATTATGACCCTTGGTCTTCCTGCCCCATGTAGTGCAACGATGAGTGAAATTTGAACTTCCTCAGGGCTAATGCCATTATCTTGACTGAAAAAACACTTTTTTACAGAAATATTAGAGTTGGTAGTAGAGGCATGGAGATGACATTTAATTAAAGATCTCTATTAATTATCTTTACTCATTAATATATTCTTTTATCCTTTTAGACAATACAATATTTTTTAAGAGCTATTTTTTCATATTGTCCTGACTTGAATGTTTGTGGTCAGGGATAGAAAGATTTTGTTCTTTAATGAAACAATGCCTTGTGTTTTAGTATATCTTGTTGACACTCAGATTTCTTTCTTTTCTTCTTTTAGATAGCACTTATATTTCCTGGCCCTGATTCAGTTTCAGTAAAAGACATTGCTTTCCATCTCCAGAAGTACACTAAGAAAAGTGTCTGTGATGATGATGGCTGTTCTGGAGAGCCACTTCTTAAGCAAGCAAAAACAGAACCTCAGGAAGAAAAAAATCTAAATGAATGCTTCTCAAGCAACAGGAGCGAGGGCACTGGACTGAAGAAAATAATATTTATTGACAGCACCTGGAATCAGACTAACAAAATAATAACTGATGAACGACTTCAAGGTAAGAAAAAAGTTCATACTGAGATGTTACTGCTTCAGAAATGATTACTGGAAATGAATGTATGTAATAGACCTGAGCATCATGTAAGAGTATACCTAACTCTATATTTGAGTATATAGGAAATATTAAAAAGGCTGTTTCAGAACTATAGAAGACTTCTTGTACCAAAGACTCCATTATATTTCATGTCATATAATTTGCTTTGCGTAATAAGACTACTGTTAAGAAAGCATTTATGTTTTATATCTCTTCTCTATTGGAACAAATTTCCTTAGTCTCACAGAGTGGAAGTTGTCATGGTAGAACATAGAAGAACAGTAGGTTGAATGACTTCTGGAGAAAGCTGGAATGATTTCCTATGCAGCTGGCTATCTGCTTTTTCAGGATTGCCCTAAGGTGTGACTAGTCAGGCAAGTCAGTCGCTCTTGTCCACACCCCTTGGAGAATTTTACCCTGCACACATCAGGTGTAATGGCTGGTGTGCACAGCCGTTGCATCCCTTGGTTCTTCTAGTGCCTGGCATAAAGGGCAGAAGTTGCATTAATATTCCTTTTAGAAATTGCAGTTTGGGCTTCTGAGATGAATGGGGCAGAGTTTCCTTAGGCATAAACTGATGAAATTGTTGTGTTGTACACACGTGAAAAATAGAAATTAACTGTATGATTAAAATAACAATAGGCAATTTAGTTAAAGCTTAAACTCTTGCTAGCTACTACAAGTGCAAACTGTACTCGTTACTTAACATTTTCGGCACTAGTATTTCTTGGAAAAAGAGGTGATGGATAGCTCAGAGTAAGCAACAGGCTTCAGCACATGTGGAAACTTTACAACTTACGTGTTAGTGGTAAGAACTTAGAATCTCTCTGAGATGTAACATCAGTGACCAAACATGATTAACACAGGATCGTACAGGTTTGAGCATTTGATTATTATAGAGGAGGGAGCACAGGGACTGTTCTGGGATAATAGAATGTAGCATACTGGGGGGGGAAAGGACACTTAATGAAAGGTGGGAGATTTCTCCGAAAGATGTTATCTGCCGTAAGACGCATATACAGGAGAATAACTTTTGTAAGGGAAGTTTGCATTTCCTAAGTAGATTTAAAGGCAGCTGTATTTCTGTTTTGTTTGATCTCAGATTCATAGAAAAATTTCTTTCTAATGAGCTCAAAGTATGCAGATGGTAAAAAAGCCAAAACTAACACATCAATTTCCTTAGCATTGTAAGCTCTGGTATGAGCAATCAGTATTTGTAATAAAACCTTGCCTTTGGCTGTATAGATACAGATACAGTACAGCTGATAGAAGTATGCTCAGTAAACTGTAAGCTTTAACTCCCTCTAATTGTTTTTTTTTGTTAAAAACTCCTAAAATTCCGTGTTGGAAATCAGCTGATCCTGCATTTGTGGTAAGCTCCGTAGTTTCAGTGGTCTTGCCTTCAGTGTTTGTATTCAAAGCACAAATGGGTGGGAGTTTACATAGGACGAATCATCTCCTAAACTTAGTTCACTGTTCTTAAGGTGGAAATGTCACTGAGTTAGATGAAAGTTTTCATTTTCATTAGGGCTGAGAATTCAGGTGCTGAAACCTCTTGAAGGAAACAAGCTTAGCACAGTTCCCTGTTACTATTTTGAATACACACGTGAAGAACTATTAGAGGTAACAATTAGACTAAGTTATTTTGAATTTTTGGTTTCGAAATGCTACGAGTAACATTTAAATTCAGTGATGGAATCTTCAGGTTCAGGGGTTTTTTTAATGCTATAGGAGATTTACTATGCAAGATACCATACATTACTAACTGCAAAGCAAACAACTAAATCCATCTTGCAGTTACACTAGGAAGAATTAAACATAGTTTGAAGGTTAAAAGTATAGAATTACAAGTGCTGGGCTTTAGGCCAGTTTGTGCTCCTGAATTTGGACCTAACTGAAACTTCTCAGTCCAAACTTCTGTCTCTAACTTCCAAGCAATTCTTAAACCATGTTGTTATTTATACTACTATGTGTACTAGACCATCTCATGATACACACATGATTAGCATATGATATTAACATTTAGAAAAAGATCATGTTATGACCTGATCTTGGTATTATTGATAGATGTATATGCTAGTCTTTATAATTCAATTGTCCATCCTGTTTAGAAAGTGTTTACACATTAAGGTGGCTTTAATTTTGAGTAGTTTGTGGATAATGGAACATAAAAACTAAGATACATGCTTAAAATTTGTCTGAATAATAAAACAGAAATGACAGTAGATGAAAGATTTTCATGTGCCATAAAGAGGCCAAATTTCTTTCTTTTATCTCAAGTGGGAATGCTTTTAGTTTCTAATAAAATTAATGACCACATTCTGTCATACTTACTCCCAAGTAATCCCAGTGAGATTTCAGTTACTTAACAAGTGTAAATGAAAGGTCTCTGGTTCTTAGCAAATGTTCCTCAGTTCAGCAAAACAGCGGTCTGAGGCATTCTGGTTGACACCTGAAGGGTATCGGCTGTGCAGAAGATGGAGTTTATTAATCATTTTATGAACATTGACAAGTTGTAGGTGTGTGTTTCGCTCTTCCTGCGTGCAAATAAGAGGATTTTATCCTAGAAATTTTAGCACTTTTTCATCAAATTTTAAGGTGGTCCACAAAGGAGCACCTCAATTATTGCCTCCATTTTACAGATTAAAAATGGAGCTAGAGGAAGAGAAATTATTTGCACACAAACATCTAGCAATCTAGCAGCAAAGTCAGAAAACAAAACTAAAGACTTTCTTTGCATCCCATCCATCAATCCACATTGTCAACTTTTTTCTTGACAGGGTTGCTGCAAATTGAATTGAAGACCAGGAAGACTTGCTTTTGGCGTCATCAGAAGGGAAAGCCAGATACATACCTTTCCACAATAGAAGCAATTTATTACTTTCTTGTGGACTATCATCAGGAGATTTTGAAAGAGAGCTACAAAGGACAATATGATAATCTTCTCTTTTTCTTTTCGTTTATGTACACATTGATTAAAAATGCCAAGTGCTGTGCAGGAAAAGAGTAAGATACCTGTCTAGGTAAGTAACACTACCTTTTATTTTGTTTCTTTTGTAATAATCAACTGCACAAATGTAACTATTTTTATCTAACTGAAATCTGAAATTAGATTATGCTCTTCATAAGGGCTACAGCGTTTGCCCAAAAGTAAGCTGCAGACCTCACATCCTGTATTCTTAAGGTTGTCGGTCTCCTCGTAGGAGCAGTCTGATTAGAATTACTTACCTGAAAACAGTTTTGCTTTGATACCTGTTGCCATATTTAAGCCCACAGACCTGCTATGCATGTCACAGTGGGAGAGTATTTGCCGACGTGAGGATAAGAGGACTTGGCCTGTCTTGCTATAAGGAGAGATCTCTCTAAGTGTAAAAAGGAATTAGCATGCTAGCTTTTTATTAATACTTCGTTTCAGGCGTTTTCTTTGCATTTTACCCAGCAATACTGATACCACTTTTATGATATCAAAAGCTGACTGAAATTACTAGGATGGTATTTAACTTGGGAGAGGGAGCACCAATAAAAAAAGACCACATTAATTGAATAGATTATAAATTATGTACTTTCAAGATTAATTCTGTAAGATTGTCCTAGTAATTGAAAAGAGAAATCTTTTTAAACATCATTATGCATTATTTCTATAATACCATTCACACACTTATATTAAGACTATCCTAAATTTCTTGGGTAGTTTTACACTTCAAACAGATTAATTTAGTCAAGTGTTGATTATTGTATAATAGCATTATGGTGAAGAACACTGACTTAATAAATGTCACTGTAACATATCATAGTAAAATAGGGTATATGTCACATGTTTGTATTCTAAGCAGCAGAACGGGCTCGTTGCGTTGTAGGAGTTGTTGGAAAATATAGATATTTTTGCAGGACCTGAGACAAAGTAATTTGCAGAGACAAGAAACGGGGAAGACTGTGGTTCCGACCACAGCATTTCTGACAAGAATTCCGTAAATTAGGCAGAGTACAAATCTGTTGGGCTTTTTCTTTTGCACCAATAGCGCAAATTTGAGCAGCTTCAATAAGACTTTGTCTATGCTGATGAATTTTTTGCTGGTATGTTTAGAATTTCTGGCAGACCCATCACACATGAGTGGCATTATATGTGTGACACTGTCAAGCTATACCAGTGCAGCTAATGCTGGCAGAGGTAATAGACCTAAACTAAACTATATTTTTACAGAGTTATATCAATATATGTTGATCATACTAGAATATTCTGCCAGAAAAATTAATATTGGTAAAAATTCTAGTGTTAGGGTAGAAATAAATGTTTCATTAGAGGTACCATATAAGATGGATAAATATCTCTGAATACTCTCAGAAGTGTGTTACAAAAGAAACAAATGAATCTTGTCAAAGCCACACAGAAAAAAAATTATAGATTATTTTTTAAACAAAAATTCTGAAGTTTTTATTGTGCATTTTCCTCAAAACATTGGCCTGTTATCACCTGTAGCCTACTCTCCAGTAGGGCACTCTCACACCCTGGTAAACACAGAAACAGTGCCCTGAAAAATACCTCAAGAAAAATCTTTTTATGCTTTTTTTATGCCATGTAAGCTCAAACAGTGGATTTGTACTATGTTTATTAATGCTTCAAGATACTGAAACCAAAGTTCATATTGCCTAAAACACAAAATACAAATACGCTCTCTCTGCAAGTCATGCCTGTGCTCAGGTCTGTGTGCTTATCTGCCCAAGTGAATGCATACGAAAATGCATTGCAATAGACATCCAAAATACATCTCCTCCTTTTGCAAAAAAAAGTACCAGTTACGCAAGTGCACATGAAGTGCGCAGGAACTGTAACAGCACCACAGGCTTGAAGTCAGAAGGAAGAAGACAGTTTTTAAATATACATGTATATTGAGTTCATGTGCCAGACAATGAGAAAAATCAGCAGTCTTGTCTCAGTGCTATCGAAACAACACATTTCTTGCTCATTTGGTTCTTATTGCTATTGAGAGGTTATTTCCTTTGGTAGGAATTTTGATAGTCTTTTGACATTTCCATCTGTTCTTGTATTTCTTAAAGATCATTGTAATTTATTTTTTTTCAAATCACACAAGTATAATAGCTAGAGAAGGAAACTTTCACCCACTTTAAACAAACAAAAATAAAATTAACCCACTGACCTAATGTTTTACAAGAACCAGAGAAAAATCTGGGGGGAGGGGGACTTACTTCCAAGACACATTTCCCTGAAAACATGTTTTTTTTATTGAAGAGGCAGAGGTCAGATAAAAGCTTATATAAGCTGTTCTTTGTTACTTTTGGAAAATAGTTTCCTGAGGTTAAAAACAGTTTCCAAATTTAAGTTTTGTGTACCTCACTTTATTTGAACAACGGGAATTAAGAATCTCTTCCAAAAGTAAATTAATTTAATTCTCAGGTGAAATCAGTGTACAAGAAAGATTTTAAATCTGGAACACCATGTCCAACAGTTGGGTTCAGATTAATTTTTATGCAGTGCAACCTCAGTGTAATGCAAGAGTCATTACAAGTGACAGAAGCGTATCTACTATCTGTAATTAATTAAGGTCTGTTGATATTCATGTGATAACCTTTTATGAGGGCAGGAGAGAGGTTATTGTCACTTTTGCTGCAGATCTGTTCTGAGCAGCAGATGTAGTTTCTCCTTCTTTCTCATCTCCCATTCTCTCCTCTGTAAACATATTTAACTATTGTATAGTGTATAATTGTAGTACTGGTATAAGAAGCCAAACCAACCAAAACATCCACCTCGTGCTGAAACTGTCTTAATACCACTGATACATTTTTCCAGCTTTGAGACTAAAGAATGATTTTATTCCACCAAACAAAAACCATGAAGTGGTTAATCCTTTCAAGTGCAATTAGCCGCACTGACCTCGCTGTTCTTTAAGATGAGGGTCATGGGGAGGTATAGGCCAGTTTTGGGCCTTTTCTTTCATATCAGAACACCTCTTCACTAACTATCGCTTTTGTGTCCAAAAACATCAGAGAGCAGGGGGGAAAACAGGCTTCTACTTCCATTAGCAGTAACTTAAACAGCCATAAGTTAAAGGGGGAGGAAAAGGAAGAGCATCTCTATCTATCTCTTTTCACAACAGAAGACATCTGGCCTCCTGTGGGGAGGCCCGGATAACAAAGAACCTGTCACTACAAACCTCCTCGATGTGTTCCGAGAACCATTTTACCTGCAGTCTGGCTCATTCATTTCCTGCCACTGAAGCCATCTGCTTTTGCTTATTGTAGGTATTTTTGTTCTTTGTTTGGCCAGAAGCGTGAAGTGGCTTCACTTTAGCATGCCTCTGTGCGTGGTCAGGGGGAGTATTTAATCCTTTTCTCAAAATGAGTAAGATGGAGCTGCAAAAAACAATTCCTTTCCTGGAAGGTAGCACAAATGTCATCCAAGCCTGGGTTGAGTAAAGGGTCATGTTAGTGCATGGGGTCAAAATACATTGAGATTGAAAAGAGATGGCAACTTGGAATCCACAGCAGAACCTTCTAAAGCACTTGTAATCTCACCTGATTTAAATCCTTTGCTACTGGTCCCTGCAATTTTTTTGTTTGAGTCCATCTGGTTTTCCACATAATGTTCTTCAGGCCCAATTGCAGAGCAATGTAGCAATCTGTTCTTGCTTTTCTCTTGCACTGAGTTTCATTATTTTGCCTGAATGCTTTAAAAATCAGCCTGTCTTCATAATGATCGTCATGACATACTTATGTAAAATGTAATATGCTATGAAAATCCACTCCACCTGTCCCTATCTTTGCAAATACCAAAATAAGGAGGGGAGTTTCCCATCATTTACTGTAACACAGTTAATACACTCCCAAGTACCATTAACTTGTGTTTTAAAGTATTTCAAAAAAATATTCAAAAAAAATTTCAAAAAGCTGTGCATCAGCTGAATTCAAACTTGTTTTGCAATACAAAACTTAAGATTCACCACTGACTGTTAAAACAGGGCAGCTTTCCTACTAAGGTGAAGGGAGCATGTGGCAGTAAGATGCCGATCTCTTGATATCAGAATACAAGGTCACCCGTTAAGGTACTGAACAACTCGGCACAACTCCTGAACTGTTATCCCTTGTCTTGAGAGATATTTTAGTAAAATTTCATTGCTGTCATTAGTAAGAATGTTGATTTTCACTGGTGACACCTAGTAATACTAACATTCAGAGTATTTATGAAATTTACAACATTTCTTGTGTTGGGAAAGTTAACACATTGCTGCCATTGTATGGTTTCTGAAGAGAAATCAGATTCTGTAGAATTTTAAAAGTACGGTACCATGTTAAACTTCAAAAACACTCACAGTGGTGTGATTTCTTCACCACTACCTGCCAAAATAGTTCTTAAGTCACACAGTGAGAGGTGACAACTGCTTCTCTAATGCAAACCAGACTTTTCATTTTCACTTCACTGAAAACTTTTGTCTAACTAGCAATGCTGGTGCTGTTACCACGTTCACATCAACTGTGATTTTACTGCTGACTTTTCAGACCTCTGGTGTTGTGCTAGGATATTTAGAAGCATACTGGAGAAGAGTGAAAAGAAGAGAATGCTTCACATCAGTACCCCCAAGACCGAGTCCTACTTGACCTATGATCCTGTGTGCTTCACTTCCCTTGCCTGTCAAGTAAATGTCTGCCTCTGAATAACTTGTCTCTACATAGGAAGCTGGGACCATAAGGCAGTTAAACTCAGCATTAAATCTAAAGGCTGAGTATTATTATATCAAAGGTTCTGATGATAAATTTTTCCAACAACAGGGATAGGAACACTATACAAAAGTATGTGTACATGGGTACATAGTACATAATATATACCTCCTTCCTAGCGATAAATGCATTGGAGACAGAAGATTTTCTCCTATGCTGTTTCTGTCTTGGGGAACATAAAGACAAAGAAAATCAAAGCATGGTATCAGAGTTTACAAAATTAAAAAATAAACTGTTATATATATAGGTGTTTATCTATATGTACAGAGCAAATAAGTACTTTCATTAGAGACGTGTATCTGAGCCTGTTAACGTACAAAGATGAGTAATTTGACTGTGAATTCATTTGTTTGGATGTCCAGCACAAGTACTGCATTATCCCTCCAAACAAT